ATCAACACTCGTAACTAATTATTATTGGGCCGATATGGTGGCGCATAAAATGGGCAGCGCCCTGGGCACAAGAAGTAGATTTCAGGTGAAGAAGCTCGTAATGCTAATATGATTTGTCTTCAAAGTCACGATCCGCAATATTAAACGGTGAAATAATAGTAATCGGAGAACATAATCGTAGTTTCATTGTAAACACGAATGATATCGTGATTAGTAATGCATGTTGTAGTAACAATGCGGATTGTGTAAAGTCATCACTGTTTTTTTTCATGTTATTGTTAAATGTATTATTAATATTATTAATATTAATTACTTAGTACGCTTTCTGCTACAATCAGTAAATGTAATTGATAAACTATACGTGTACATAAAGTGACTTGAATTGAAAATGGGTGGTATTTAATTTAAATATGGGAATATTGACGGAATATTACTAGGCCTAAGTGTACTAGTTTTGTATAGCGCAGACAAAGTTCCCATCTCGGCTTAACACTACGGCTTGTGCGCCGTGTAATCTAGTGACTAGAGTCGTAGGGTAGAGGATTTTCGACGTAAAGCATTTACAGAGTTTTTAAAAAGCCTGTCGAGTCTAGTTGGTCGCTGATAAATGTCTAGAACGGCAAGTGATAAAGGCTCGAGAGAGTGGTGCTGTCAGCCTGAAATTAACGATTCCATGGCTCCGCATACAGGGTGGTGTTCTCGCGAACAGTTTCCACGTGGTGGCCGTGTGTCATGCATGTAGGTTACCCGTGACCGCTGCATGGTTCGTGAGGCGAATCGGCGGCTAACGGTCGCTCTTCCAAGAAAACGGGACGCACTGATCTCTAACAGGATGGTAACGAGCGACGCTGTAGACAACGCGGGACGGCGGCGGACAACGCGGCACTGCTGCAGTCTCACGTTAACGTGACTCGCTCGGTCACTCGAGCTCTATCCAGCCAGCATAGGTCGCTACAAATACGATGAAACGAGCGCCTTTCCCTGATTCCGCAGCCTCTCTATTGTCACCACGTGTGCAGCAGTAATTCAAGCTACCAACCGGGCGAGTCATCGGATCAAACGCGCGGAGGGCAGCAAGAAGGAGTCGCCGAGCGCACCCCTGCTGCGCGTCGACCTCGTGCGCCGCTGGAGACGCACGACTCCAGCGCGGCGACGCCGCTTGCCTCTTCGGCCCGCGCGCGAGAGGGGCGCGGCCTAGTCGACACGCTCACGGTCTCCCGGCGGCGTCGCCCGGGGAGCGGGAGCGGGGCGCCCGCGGTGACCCCGGTACTTGTGCGACGACAAAGCTGGGGACGGCAAGCGGTGTTCACGCTCGACGGCCTCCACCGCACGGTCTCCAGCGTGCGGCGGGCTGATGGCTGTTCCGCCTAACACGCTCTGCCGGCTGCGAGTTCGCACGTTGTTGAAGTTCCTCGTCCCAGAGAGGCGGCGGCGGCGGAAACGAGCGGCACTCGCGGCGCGGTCAATGGAGGTTGTCCGCGCACGACAGGAGCTGGCAGCAGAGGGAGCAGGTGGCAGCTTGTCGGCTGCAGCGAGCGTTGGTGGCTTGTACAGGCAAGGCCGGGACGGGAGGCTCATCCGGCCCGCATGGTCGACGCGATGGAGCGGCCCGTCTAGCAACGCGCGCCGGGCACGATCCTCGGTGCGGGTCGGCGTCCGGCCTCCCTGCGCCGTAGTCCCGCGTCCGGGCGGGGTCGATCGTCTTCGAGCGTGCCACGCTGCGGCAGCGCAAGTCGGCCGCCCGAGCCGAGGGCGTTCGCTCTCCTACCACGACGTCAGTCGACGAGCTCGGCCTCAAAGCTCGGCATCGACAAATCGGCGCGGCGATCCGCAGGCTCGAGCAAAGGAACGATGAGGAGCGAGGAAGGACGGGGAGGAGGATGGCGAGATGTGAGCGAGTGTTCACCGCCGCGATGCCCAGCCGGCGCACAAGCGAGTCGCATGGACGAGAACGCTTCCCAGCACGAGCGGCCCGCGGTGGAGACGCTGCGTCAAGAAAGGCAGGGCGTGCCGCGGTCTACGGCACGATCCCTGTGCGTCGAGGACGTACACGTGCGTGCCCGAGCACGGCCGGCCCAGGTCAACGCCGCTACCAGGTGCCGCCGCCACCGGCAACGCAGGCGCACCGTATCCCCCGGCCCGCGCGACGCCAAGCTTCCCCGGACGACGAGGAGAAGCCGCGGAGGTCGGCAACGGCGAGGGCGGCGCGCTCACGAGGAAGGAAAGGAGGAGGGTAGCGAGGCGGCGGCATCGTGCGTGCGTCCGTCGTCGGTGTACCGACATAGACGAGGAATGCCGCGCTTAGCCTAACCTGGCAAGCATGCCGTGGCGCGGCTCTGGTCGTCGCTTACCTCGTCGTCGCCTGCAACTTGCCTGGATGTTCGCCGAGGACCCGGTGGTGCACAGCGCGCGTCGAGTGCGGGCGACTCCCGTCGTCGAACACGCGTTCTTGTCGTTTCGTCGCGATGCGTACGGCCGGACGACGGGCGTAGGGCCGCGCTGAAGGTACGACGGCGCAGCCTCGCACATGCGCACAGCACGTTCACGACACATGCAGCATGCATGCACCACCCACGCGCTGCGTGCACATGTTCAATGAATACATATCCACGCTCAGCAGACACAAACAACACACACACATACACCTAAAAGCGACATACACACGCACCAACGCATCGGACACACGACGCAAGATACACGCAGGCTCCGAATTAAGCGCGAAGAAGGGCCAGGCAGATTTTTTAGGGCACGTGAGAAATCGCCTTGATTTTCTCTAAAAATGGACGGGCAGGCAGAGGCAATTTTAAAAGCCACCAAGGCAACTTTCAAAATTTGGAGGGCACCGAAGGCACTTTGTAAAATATAATGAAAACTCATATAACCAAAATGAGTACATGCCAAGCGATCGTCTTTTGCTTTAATGTGTAGAAAGAAGAGCAATATGCCCCCGTATGTAAGATGCTTAGCAGGGGAGCCTGTAACAGCCGACCCTTGTGCCGGGGGGTCCGCGTCTGTCTGAATGGAAGGGTCAGTACAGATAATGTTTGAGTATGCCCGGCTATCAGGAGTGAATAATTATGCCCGATGGCGGCTGTTGATTGGTTCGCCGGCTCCCTGGCGACTATCGTTTTAAGCTCGTCATTGCACTACAGCAGCGCACAGCGCACGTGTTATTTGATTCGACTAAAAACGAAAACTAGGGCAGCGTAAGATGTAAAGGGCACCGGACGCAAATTACACACAAGGGCAAGGCAGGTGACTGCCGTCGGTCGAGTTGCGATTTTCACCGGGGCAGTACGGCAATTGATAGGGGCACGCACGACGGCAATTGCGCATTTCGGTTGCCGTCGTTCATTCGAGCCCTTGAATACACGGATGACACACAACACACACAGCGAGACTTGCGTCCAAACGCACCAGCATGGCATGCTTACGCACACATGCAGCGCCCGTAGACCGCGCAGATACAAACACGCACACATGAAGCTCACCAGCCTCGTCGTCTCCACTTCTCTGTACCTGGTCCCTGTCTGTCACTGCGCCTAACCTCTATTCCTGCCCGTTCTCTCTGTCAACTTGTCCTTCGCCTCTGTATTGGCCCCTGTGACTGGCCTAGTCCTTATCCTTTGCACTCTGTCCTGCCCTGTACCTGTTCCTGTCCCCTATATTATAGGCTTATCACCATTCTATCATTCCCTGCAGCTGCTGCGCTCTGCACCAGTCTTGTTAACCTGCAGGGCGTAGCTACGGGGGGCCTCTGGGGGGGCGCGAGCCTCCCCACAATTTTCTTGTGGCCCGTAGGTGCCCCCGCACTACTGAAAATTCATGCTTGATAAAAAAAAAGAATTAACCACAATGCCGTTAGAACGGTATAATACAAAGAAAAGTTATATATTGTGCCCCCCCACGAAAATGTAAGGCCCCCCAGAGCCCCCCCCCCCGCGCTGAAAAAATCCTAGCTACTCCACTGTTAACGTGTCTGGTGGGGATTGTAAACTAGTATCTTTTACACATTTATCAAATAGTATGGACATGTTCTATGCCTATGTCGACACTGTCATGAGACTTGCAATCTAATTATAATCATGATTGTTTATATAATCGGAAGACTTTCTGGATAACGTAAACTTCTGCACTGTATATATACTGTTCTCCTCCGGTAATGGAGACATTCCGAAGCAAAGTGTTCTGTCGACTTTCGTTGGGCTTGGTCAGCATTCCTCGGACATAGATAAAATATCTTTGCCGACAGCTTTGCCTCAGTGAGTTTGTTGAGGTATTTCTAAGTAGGTTAAACATGCCTAGCAAAACCCCACTGGCTTTTTTATGTCGGCCATGTTTATGTCACTGTTGTAAACAGTGCAAATGTTCGTGTTGTGCTCAGCAATAAACGATAGATTTTGAAAATCGGGCAGCCGCTCGACGTTTCAAACATTTTTGAGAAGATCGCTCGCTCGCGGAGAACAAAGGGTGGCGCGTGCACTGTACGTGAATGTTTATGCCTTACAGGTGACGCTGTGGCTGTCCGGGATCTTGTGTGGTATGCTGGTCGGCAAGGGGTTAGTGCACAGGCTTCTATTTGGTAAGCCGAATGACGGGCGTGCATCAGCAGTTCCGTTATAGAAACTAGTTATTTTTAACTTCTGTGTAAGCTCAGTCGAAATGGAGATTCTCTGCTCAATTCTATTATGCTTTAGGATAAGACAATGCGTTGTGATATGTTCGCAAGAGTAAAATCTACTACAGCAAATTTAAATACTTTCGTATTTAATTCATGAATATTCAGATTTCATAAATAACTGCACGATTAAGAAAAATCTAGCGTCTATTAGCGAGTATGCTACTGTATATCTCCAGTAAAACATTATCATGAGTTTATGCTGAATTATGGTATATAAAATAGCAAATAATGCAGCCGCGTTCTTTTGAATAGCGCCAATTTGCTTGAAATCGGCAACCACCACGCAAAGGTGCGCAAATCTCAATGAATGACGTAGTGGTTCTAGACTGGTACAACATCTCTATTGCCTAATTAGAGTTACAATGTCAAAGTACAGGGACAGGGTCTCGCGAGAAACAAGTGGCATCAAGAGTACATCGAGCAGCCTCAATAGGCGAATTACGATGGTTGGGGCATCATCAGTAACAGCGTTAACACGATGTAAACAAACAGATTTCAATCGTTGTTTATTTTTGTGAAATTGACTGTGTACGAGTGTTCTAAGATAACTTAGCCTTACTTTGAACACTTGCTGTTAAGCAAGCAATACCAGTCAGTACTGTAGTGGTCGGAAAAATACGAGAACGGTCAGGAAGACTGTTTGAAATAATTACTTTATTTAGTTAGTGTTTCCAAGAGAAGCAGCTAGCCCAATGGCTCAGCACTAATGATCGCACCACGTCAGAGTGTATTACAGTACGCTGTGATGTAGAATATAATGACAGATGCTCATGGGGTGGTAGAGTGTGATTGTGTTATGTGTGAGGAGGAGGATATGCAGGAAGGAGGAGGGGGAGAAAGAGGAGGAGGGGCAGATGATAAGCGCAACTGAGATATGTAAGGAGAAGGCTGACTGTGATCAGTGTGATGTGTGAGGAGAAGAAGGGTGACTGTGTGATGTACAAGAAAGAAGAGGAGGAGGTGAGAAGGAGGAGGAGAGGATGACTGTGAGAGGAGGAGGAGGAGGAGGAGAAAGGGAGGAAGAAAAAGAATGACTGCGTGATACGAGGCGCGGAAGCTGACCGTGCGATGTCGTCGACAGGGCGTCTGCTGCGACTCAGCATGTTCACGCACGACAACGGCTCGTGGATCGTCATGGGTCTCGTTTCGATCGTCTTCGTCTGCATCTTCGCTCAGATCTACAACGGCTTCCTCGCCTACGGTCACGCGGACAGCGCGCCGTACATCATCACGGCCGCGATGAACGTTCGCTACGAGACCTTCATGAAGATGGCGGCGTCGGCGACGTGGCTCGGAGACTTCGTCACCGCGTGGATGGTGAGCTCACCACTCGTGCGCCGCCGATTCCGCCGCCGGTTGCCCCCGGTTACGCGCGCTCACGTGCCGATCATATCTCCTCGCTTGTCCCCGGGGTCACAAAACTTGTTCGAGTAGGGAAAATCGGTGGTTCACACTCAGATCACATATCTGATTGTTTTGGTTGTCGTGTGTGTGTGGGGGTCCTATTCCTGCCTGTTCTGGGTCACGAAACTGATCCGCGATCTGTGGAAATCAGTGACAGTATAGTCAGTAGCTGGAGCAGTATGGGTACTCGTAGCAGTTGTATGTGTATACTGGTAGAGCTAAGTTGACAGAGGGACAGACATCTGCACATTGTCAGCATTTGAAAGACTTCACACAGAAACAGAGTAGAGGGAAGTGCGAACTGTCACGTTGGTTGTTATTTATAGACGTATTCGTGACGATACTCGGCTATCGCAGAGTGTGTTTTCGTATCTTTTTCTCAAGTGTGGAGTCAGATAGAATGTGTCATCCGCTTCAGTTACGTACATATCGCCGGTCTACGCGCACACGCTGTGTATCTATAACCGTGTATGACCGTATACGCTGTGTCATGAACGACTCGGGTTATCGCCCATGTGCCCGCGTTGGGATGTTTACGAAATCTGTTTCCTCGCATGTAGGTCACAGACATGATGCTACAGGACAAGCTCTATCCTTCCTGGGGCAGGTCTGCACGGGCCTTCTGGCAGCACAACCATAACAGGATTATTCTTTTCTGGATGGTGCGTTTGCAGTCTATATAAGTCTATACAGGGGCTAGCTTACAGTGGCTGCCTGTATGTATAACGCGTTTATTAGATGATGGACTTCCATATCAAATTACATACAGGGTTTGTCTTTGTGTAAAGCAAGAAAGAGATGGCGAGGGAGACAGGGTGGTAGAGAGGCAGAGAAAGAGAAAAGGAGAGGGGTAAGGGAGAGGAAGAGGGGGAGAAGGGGAGAGAGAGGGAGGGGTTAGGGAAGACACGTACAGAGAGTGAGGAAGACAGACAATAGGGGGAAAGGGGGGTTGGGTGGGGTGAGTGGGATAACAGTTTAAATGAAAATGGTATCGAATATATTCTAGATCATGTTTCTGTCATATGACGCACTTTTTCTTTGTCGTTGGCCGACGTTTAACCATCTGGAGTCTGCTAGTATTCGATGGATGCTGTCTTCTGCTGCTGTAGGTGTGGATCCTGATGACTGCTGTAGTCCTCATGGTCATTATAACAAACTGGGTAGACTGGGACTACCTGAACCATGGCTTTGCACCGACCTGTGAGCTTACACGTGCCTTCCTTGCCTCCAGCATCCTTGTGATGGACCTGCTCATACTCATACAGGTACGCAGGCAATTACCCACTACAGGTGCACAGGTAATTACCGAGTATAGGTACGCAGGTAATTACCCACTACACGTGCACAGGTAATTACCCACTACACGTGCACAGGTAATTACCCACTACAGGTGCACAGGTAATTACCCACTACAGGTGCACAGGTAATTACCCACTACAGGTGCACAGGTAATTAGCCACTACAAGTACGCAGGTAATTACCCACTACAGGTGCACAGGTAATTACCCACTACAGGTGCACAGGTAATTACCGAGTATAGGTACACACACAATAATGCAGTACAGGTGCACAGGTAATTACTGAAAACGCAAGAAATCATAGAATGTTATAAAATATCACACGAAAAATCATAATATCATAGACCGTAGAATAGAATATAAGATCTGAGAAATAATATTAGCCGTAAAATAACATTAGCTGTAGACAGCATAGCAGTACTAATGAGTGCCTGAATTGCACAATTGTGTGCATATCTGTACTGGGTAATTGCATGTGTACCTGTAATTGGTAATTGCCTGCAACCCTGTACTCAATGACTGTGTGCATACCTGTAGTTGGTAATTGCCTGCATACCTGTAGTGCATTATTGCGTGTGTACCTATACTCAGTAATTACCTGTGCACCTGTAGTGGGTAATTACCTGTGCACCTGTAGTGGGTAATTACCTGTGCACCTGTAGTGGGTAATTACCTGCATACCTGTAGTGGGTAATTACCTGCGTACCTATACTCAGTAATTACATGTGCACCTGTAGTGGGTAATTACCGCAGGACTGGGATTTTCCTCATTTTGAGAGCTCCAACTTAGACATCAAGCTTCCTGGCCTCAACGTGGCAAGCATCAAGTTCAGAGTGCCAGCTTGCGTGCGAAACAAGTTCTGGACTGTACACATATCCGGTAGATTTCGAGAAAGTGATACAGACGCATATGGAGAGAGGGAGGAAAAAAATCGAAAGAGATAGAGACAGCGTGAAAGAGAGAGAGTGAGGCAGACATACAGACAAGCATACATACATGCATATGTACATACATGCATACGTACAGACAGACAGACAGACAGACAGACAGACAGGCAAGCAGGCAGGCAGGCAGGCAAGCAGGCAGGAAGTGAGGCAGACAGACAGCAGACAGACGGCAGTGCAACAGAGATGCAATAATGAGCGTTTAAGTGATTTATCTGTTAATAAATTTATAGTTGGCAGTATGTAAAATTATAGTTACCTAGCTCTGGCATCACACGTTCAGCAAATCCTGGAACTTCAGTGTAAATTCTGAATATTTGAAAAAAAAAAAAATAGCATATATGTTGCAAGAAAGTGGTTCAGCTATGACATACTCACAGTGTGTTGTTGCATGTTGCAGGGAAATGGTTCAACTATGGTGTGATCATACTTGTGATGTGTCTGGATTTGAACATGTGGATCAATCAGGTGATCTATGCACCACGCAAGTACGGGCAGTACACGGGACCACAGCATGAGATCTACACGGCTACAGACGAGGTACAATATCATATCATTCAGCTACAGACGAGGTACTTCTGTAGCTGAATGATATGATATATGATATTGTACCTCGATCATTCAGCTACAGACGAGGTACGATATTGTACCTCGTCTGTAGCTGAATGATATGATATTCATATCATTCAGCTACAGACGAGGTACAGTATCATATCATTCAGCTACAGACGAGGTACAGTATCATATCATTCAGCTACAGACGAGGTACACTGGTACAGTATCATATTATTCAGCTACAGGTGTTATACTGTGTAATGT